CAGGCTCGTGTACCCTCCCGAGCTGCCAGTACCAGCCAGGAGGGGCACGGATCCAACAAACATGTGGTTGCATTCAGCCCTCCCAAGACCCTGTCCACATCCTCGGGAGCAACAGAGTCAAACTCCTCCCATATAACCGTCTCAAGACCTGCTTCCGTCTCCTCCCCCTGGGCCAACCAGTCGGAGTCCAAGCCTTCCCTGCTTCCTTCGCCATCGTTAATGCTATGGGCAAATGTTGATTCACGTTAACCTCCTACGGATGTGCAGAACTGAACCCAGCGATGGGAGCGTGGCAGGGAGCACAAGGGAGAGAAGCAGCCTCAAACATCAAATAATTTTATTTTTATTTTTCTCTCTCCCATAGCCTTTGTCGAGCACCTTCTCACCGTGTGAAGGGCAGCCCTTTCCGGATCATCAAAGCGACCGCGGTGGATCTTTTCCCCCACACGATGCATTGCGAGATGCTTTTCTTCTTTGAAAGAATCGAGTATCCAAACAGCAAGGCGAGTAGTGTCCCTGCGGGCTCGGCGGAGATTCCAGGTGTGAAGCTGGTGGACGTCCCAGATGTGAAATCCCAAGAGGCAACTTCCCTCGAGGCAGACACCGCAGACTCCCTCCCAAAAACAGCGATGGAGTGTCCCAGTTAGCCATTCCCAGTCAGCCCAGCACAGAAGGGACTCGTGTTTTACTTCCTGGTCTTAAAAAGGGTCTGCTGCTTCCCCCCTCCCCTTCTCTTCGTTGCCCAGCCAGCTGCTGCTTAAGATTTGCAAAAAGTACCAAGTTGAAGTAGGTCAAGAGATTAAGGGGACTGTTAGAAGCAAAGGCTTCAAGAAGGTACAATTTCAGACTGCGTCCTTTTCTCACAATGGCATATTTTTGAAATCATGGAGCAAATGGGGCGAGTGCCCTGTGTACCAAACAAATTAAACCCATTGGGTGCATTTGTGTTGTGTAGCTTTCTTTGTCCCTAATGTATGACCAAAGTTGTACTTGCCACAATTGGAGTAATCCTTGATGTACAATAATGGAGTCTGCCCATTACGGTCGCACGTCGCTTGGTTGTAAAGCGGGTGACCATGTGACAAATGATTGTTAAGTCAAGGAGTGCCTGTACTAATTTCTACTTTGTTAAATGCTGAATCCCCTAGTTTTAATTAATGTGGTTAAAAGAACCTCAAAAAGACAGCACCCCCAGAATACATAGAATAGAATGGAGAATAGAACAGAATAGAATAGAGGAATATAGAATAGGTGGAAGGTACCTTGGAGGTCTTCTAGTCCAGCCCCCTGCTCAAGCAAGAGAACCTATACCATCTCAGACAAGTGACTGTCCAGTCTCTTCTTAAAAACCTGCAGTAATGGAGCACCCACGATTTCTGGTGGCAAGCTGTTCCACTGGTTGATTGTCCTCACTGTCAGGAAGTTTCTTCTTAATTCCAGGTTGCTTCTCTCTTTGTTCAGTTTCCAACCGTTGTTTCTTGTCCTGCCCTCTGGGTGCTTTGGAGAATAACCTGACACCCTCTTCTTTGTGGCAGCCCCTCAGATACTGGAACACTGCTATCATGTCTCCCCTATTTCTTTTCTTCTTTAGACTAGCCAAACCCAAGTCCCGCAGCCGTTCTTTGTATGTTTTACTCTCCACGCCTTTGATCATCTTAGTAGCTCTTCTCTGAATTTTTTCCAAACTCACAACATCTTTTTTGTGATATGGTGACCAAAATTGGCTGCAGTATTCCAGGTGTGGTCTTACTAGGGATTTATAAAGCGGTACTCAACCTTTTCACGTCAAACTCCTTTTAAATACCTTTTGTGGCCACGGACCCCCAAGATTTAAATAACATTTTTTTCAAATCTTCACAAGACCCCCCGTGATGACACTGTGGTCTCCCAGGCGACCACAGACCGCTTTGAGGGGTCTCCCCCTGCCCCAAAAACATCTAAACATACTTTTATTTAACTCTCTTCACTCACATAGAAAATGCACCGATGGAAGGAAATGTGTTCTGCCAATCACATCCTCCTCCTAGATGGAAGGAAATTTGAGCTGCACAATTCAAAGCTGCTTCTCTGGAGAAATTATGATTGGCAGTACCAGATAATAATAAAAAAATCTTACATAAGATCAAACTTTTATTGCTGAAAACTAATATTTGGGAAAAGGAAACAAGTAACTCAAAAGTCGTAACACAAGAGGCTCAAAGAATAAGACTTTATAAGGGCACCAGCCGACCACTTGCATTAGTCACAATTCATAACAGCACCCAGTTAACATTGAGTTGGTCACATTCATTTTCAAAATACAATACTGCGATTAATCACTGCAAATTGTTCCATGGGACGGACAGGCCAGCATAAAACTTGGAACACCCCCACTAGAGAGAAATTATTACAGTTTTCACCATCGCCAAGAATACAGATTAGTTAGTAGAAGATGGAAAAAGCTATAGAGTGAAATACTTCTGCAAGTATGAGCAATGTTAGAATACACAGTGATTTGTTCCCAGCAGTTAAGAATCCAATTGACTGGACCAAGTAAATTTTATCGGCGCTGTCAATGGATAGCGTCCGACTTGTTTGCATCCGTTGTTATTTGACTAATTAACGACCACTTAAATGGGTTTGTCTCACATTTCTCAAGGAAAGAATAAAAAGCAAGAAAGTCTTTTATTTCTTGAAGGTTAGTGCAATGAAAAAGGGAGCCCATCCAGAAAAATACACTGATTTAATGAAGGTTAAAAGGGAGAAGAGGGAAGGAAGAAAACAACTATAATTTTAGACGTTGCCAAAACAGAAATCCCAAGTGATTTGACTAGAAAAAAAAACACAAGTTAATCAAGACTGTGAGAAAGTTCCGAATGGAACTTTAAATCAGACTGCACGGATATTCATGCAGAAACTGGAATGAATGGATGAGACGGTGGATCACAGCAGCTTGTGCTCTGGGGCAAAATATTAAGACTTTCCTCCGCAAACTATAGTAAATGTGGGCAAGGACGAGAAATATTTCACAGGGACGACAACAACGACAAGGGGGGGGGAGTTGTCCCAGCTGTTATTGCGCGTGGTTGAAACGTCAAGACGCTGCAGCACTTGTTCAAATAATGCATAATGTTTTTATACTAGCCTTTGGTTTACAATGATAACATCTAGATGTTTTGAAGGGCGGTGGCGAACCTTTTTACCGATTCTGACAAGTAAGGCTAAAACCAAATACACTCGACCTAACAAAAAACACTTCTGGAAAAAAGAGGCAACTGTGATAACTCTGCAGAGGACCTGCAAAAAACATTCTAAGTTTGGGGGAAAGAAAGCAATTTCCCTACTTCCGTAGAAAAGAAATATCCGACTTCCTTTTGAATCGGCGGCGTTTGTAAGACTAGGGTAAAAATTAGAAACTGGCTGTCTGAAGAACAGAAATCTAGACACTTCAGTGTCATGCTTAATTCTGTGGCAAATCATGAACCCGAAGGAACATCTATGGGACAAAATTCCACGGGGCCAAAATGTCACCCAAGGGCCCCAGGAATATTTGCAAACATCCAGGGTGAAAGGGAGCGTTCTAACAGTTACACAACTGGATTTTTTTTTTAATATTCCTACCGAGATTTTTTGTTGGCAAAGCTTCCAACTGAAGCGATCTGCCTCCTGCAGAGATAAACGTTATTACACAACATTTTATTCAGAGGTTTCAAACATTACTGCGTGCAACCAGCCATGCACAGGCCAAACTCTCATTGCGAGGGAACAGAAGCTGAGCGGAGCAAATACAGACCGTGGCAAAGAAAGAAAGAAAAAAACACGTATTTTTGAGATCCTGGCGTTTTTCTGCATTTCGGATTAGCAGCCCCCGTGCATGCAGCCGTGTTGTTAATGAGCATTAAAAGGTGGCTGGCATTGCTTTAATGAACATCAAGGAGGGGGGCGGGATATTAGATCACCAATCCTTCCTTTTGGTTTTTAGGGAGGGTTGACGTCTTGCTGGAAAAAAATGTCCCAAAGGTGCTTCTTGGTTTTTTTCTTGAAGACATTTCGCTTCTCATCCGAGAAGCTTCTTCGGTTCTGACTGAAGGATGGAAGGACTCTCGGAGGGAGCGCGAACGACCAGATGACTGCGAGGAATGTAAATCCATCCATCCTCCACCATTCAGTCAGAACTGAAGATGAGAAGCAAAACAATTTCTTCAAGGAAAAAACAAAAGTCCAGTTGCCTTTTAAAAAAACACCTTTGGGACAACCACAACCTCGAGGACTGAGAATCTCCATAAGACATTTACTGGAGGGGGAAAAAAAAATATCACAAAATGGTATGGATTTCTTTCGCAGTAGTTTTTGCTACTCATACCTTCTATAACCGTGGACTGGCAGGTTTGCCTTAAGCAGAAAACCTTCATATTCTTGACTTCAACAACAGAATTTACTTCGGAGTTTTTTTTTAAGAGTCCTCTCTGATGTATTTCACTTTACATTCAAATAGTTCCCGAAGCCAGATTTGCAAGTACTAAACAGGCAATAAAAATAAAGACAGTCACATTAAAAAAAATAATAATAACCTCAACTTGAAAGGAGTCCAGTGATTTTCCTGATGGGGAATAAATGCTAAGTGTTGCAATTTTAACTGACACGATAAAATATGCAGCCTTATCTAGCACTACTGCTGCTGCACTCACGGTGACTCTGGTAAACCGTGAGAAAACATGGTTATAAGCCATGAAGTTGCAGAGCAGTGGTGCCTGGCTCATCTTTATGCCAAGTGTTCGTTGTTTACATCGAAGAGAAACTGAAATATAGCTTATAATCACAGTTTCCTATGTTCGTGTTTGTTTTAAATGAAAGGCCACCATTACAAAAATGGAAACCTCAGAGCATAGATGCAATCAGTTTTGCTCTGATAATCAGGGTACCCATGCTGAAAATTCTTAAAAGACTGTAAAAAATTCACGGAGGAGCAATCCTACTGGCCTAATCTCACTCAGCAGGGCATAAAGTGACACACCCTTTTGTGTCTTTCCTTCAGTGTAAGCTGTCCAAAATGTGCAGATCAGTGCTTAATTTTTTTGTGCAGAAATACAAGAAACCCTTTCAGAAAACTAAAAGCAGGAAGAGATATATGGTCCTGGGTTACACGTTCGTCCCGCTCTTTAAATGGATATTATGGATTTAATCCTGAAGCATCTCCATCAAAGGCAACACAAAGGATGGGGAGTGAGTTTGCCCAGCTCTGGATGGCCGGGTAGAATTTTGCCCTTTTGAATAACAACACCTTGGGAAGTACACACAAAACGTAGCATGATCACCCTGATGCAAACACACAATGCACGTTTGAAGCAGCTTTTGACAGGTTGTTTCCCGAAGCAAACCAATTTCTTCCTCAAACTGTTTTGACAGAAAAAAAATAAAAAATGAAAACCATCCCTAGCTTTCGCCACTTGTTTTATTGCTCCAATTCCTAATCTTTCCCCTTACACATCAACAGTACAGAGGGGCTCGCTGCCAGGCTGAGCAGACTCTACAATGGTCATCTTGGGTTTCTTTCGTGTTTCCTCCTAGAAAAATATATAAAGAAAAGCCAGCCATAATTATACACATCCTTCATTCCTCGCTGGATACCAACGTTCAAACGTTCCCTGAACAGAACATGAATATCCGATTTTGCTCCACGTTATCCTAGTTTACACCTGCTTGTTGGAACACCAAAGTGCTTCCGTGGTGAAAGGATTTGCTGGTGACAGCACCGTGAAGTTGCCCACTGAATTGGTACCCATTAATCTATTTGTGGGCCCTGCTTTCAAACTGCTGAGTTGGCGGGGAGTCAGAGCGTGTGACGGGAGCTCAACCCATCCTGCGGCAGCCACGGGTCTCAAACGCGAGGCTGTCCATCATCAGCCTAGCGTTCTTACCTCAGGCACCAGTGCGCTATTTGCTGGGGAAACTTAAAATAGAAATTGTAACATCTTTTTCTTGGAAATAAAGGTTGCCTAAAGCAGGGGTCTTCAACTGGACTTCAACTCCCAGAATTCCTCAGCCAGGCACGGTGGCTGAGGAATTCTGTGAGTTCAAGTCCACAAGTCATCGAAGAGCCAAGTTTGAAGACCCCTAGCCTAAAGGGACATGGATGGACTGGCTGCTCTCAATATTGTCAGATTTTTTTTTTTGTTAACATCCCAGTTGGAGACCTCGGCTTGGGTTCGTAAGGGAAGGAGAAAAGTGGAGTTTTAAAATAAGTGCATCCGTATCCCCTTCCTATGGTTATAGTTTCACATAAGGATAAAGGCCAGGCTGGTTATCATACTTTGTGAAAACAACATGAGATTCTTAGCAATCTTAGAAATACATTGTAGAAAATAACAGTGTCTGGCAAAAAAAGAAAGAAAAGAAATCTAATCAGAAAAGCTTTACTATGGAGTAGAGAGTTGGTCTCTGACAGAAGGCCACCTGAAGAGACTAGAAGCATTTGAAATGTGGATTGACAGACGGCCGTTACGTATAAGCTGGGCTGACAAGAATCAGAAATGAGGAGGTGATAAGCCGCCTGGGAAAGCCAAGGGAAATCATCAAAACAATTAAAAAACGAAAATTAGAAGATTTCGGACATGTGAGGCGACACCCAGAAAAATACGGCATGCTCCATTTAATCCTCCAGGGAAAGATGGAAGGCCAACGAGGTCCAGGCAGAAGAAGAGCATCGTGGCTTCAAAATCTAAGGGACTGGTTTGGACAAAACTCAGCAGCCCTTTTTCGTGCGGCTGCTGATAAAAACAGGATCGCCAACGTCCGATAACGGATATGGCACAAGAAGAAGGAAAAAAAAGGACTTTCTAAATCAGGGGTCCTCAACCTTGGCCACTTTTAAGACTGGACTTGCAATCTATATTAACATTTTCCCTAGATTAAAAAAAACACAAGTATGAATGTTAAAAAGTTTTATAGTCAAATACCAATGTCTAGGCCAGGGGTAGGCAACCTTGGCTCTTTTATGACTCGTGGACTTCAACTCCCAGAATTCCTCAGCCAGCCAGCTGAAGTCCACAAGTCTTAAAAGTTGCCAAGGTTGAGGACCCCCTATTCTAAATGCTTTCACGTTTAAGAATCAGGAGAACCCTGTTAAGTAAGCAGGACCATAAACCCAGAGTTGCAAGGCAGCTTACAAAGGCGCTACTCACCCTTTCTTGTGCTAACTTTTTCATCTCCTCTTGTAACTTGTTCAGAATGTGCAGATTTGGCTTGTTCTTTTTGGCATACTGCTGAAGCTCTACCACACTTTTGTCAGAGGTTTCCTACACCGAGGCATCAAAATTAAAGGAAACGTTCCCGTGAGATCTTCGGTTTTAATACGGGCCCTTTCGAATCCTACTTTTAAAGAAGCCTCCGAATTCAGTCTAAGCGACTTTAATCGCAGACAAGAGATAGATATATTTTTTTTTCATATTTAAATAGAAATCTCCTTTATTTAGTCTGAAGGCCAGGCAGGACAGGGAATTCTTTACCTGCTTAACCATCTTACTGCTCTCTCTGCCATACATGCGCAATAAAGAACCCCAGTTTTTCACATGCGGGTGAAGCAGCTGAAGGATTTTCTGGGAAGCCAATTGTTTTCCAACTCTTTTGTTTTTACCTGCAAAATCACCACAAAGCAAGTTGTAAAATCGCACGTGTGTAGTAAACTTTCAGGAAATGGACACAGAAGTTGGAGGGGAAAAAAAAAAATACTGCCTTGAGGAAATCGTACTTTTAAAGAAGAGGGTTTCAGTTCTACGACGCGGAATATTTTGTACATTATATACGTGAGATTTGTCATTTTTAAGGGAATAGCCACCAATTAAATTATCCACTTCGGTTCTTAACAATTGTGAGTGTATAAGCATAGGAAAGCATTAATCTTAAGTAGCCAATAGGATGATGTTCTTGTCACTACAAACTTATTTCATTCCATACAGCATTAACCTTGTGAACTCTCAAGCTTCCTCCTTCCATTATATATTCAAGATGGACAGTATTTAATATTTATTTGTTACGTATATGTAGGGGTGTGGCTCTATACACATGTTGTATATAGTATGTTTAGGTCTGTGTCATGTATGTGTTTCACTTTGAGAGCGGGCAACTAAATTTCATTTTTTGATGTGTGCCATTGTGCCCACAGTAAAAAAAAATGACAATAAAGGTTATCTTATCTCAGTGATGGCGAACCTTTTAGAGACTGAGTACCCAAACTGCAACCCCAAACCCACTTATGCATCGTCGGGTGCCGGGTGGGCGTGGCCCATTGGGTGGGCGTGGCTGCAGTGGTAACGGCAGACTGGGTGGGACTAAAAAGTTCAATCAATCAATTCCAACTTTGCAAGATCTTTTTTTTCCCGCGAGAAGTTGAAATTGACTGATTGAACCTTTTTTTTTTTTTTTGCACATGGTGGCGGAGGCCTAAAACGAAAAGGTTTTATAAAACCCAGCTGAAGGCCTAGGACTGGGGCGTCGGCGCACGTGCCCACAGAGAGGGCTCTTGAGTGCCGCCTCTGGCACCCTTGCCATAGGTTCGCCACCACTGTCTTATCTTCAACATATTTTAAAAAATTAAATTTCTAGCTTTGATACAGATGTACTCAGGTATAAACGCTTCTGTTCTTGTTTGAAAACTGTTAACTAAAATGATAATGTCATGTGGTTAAGAGATCAATACATAGGAAATTCTGACTGGTTAAGAAAAACCAACACCACCAAGGACGCTTAGGTTCTCAGAGGAAAAGTGATATATAAATCTAACAAATTTTCCAGAGATTTTCTTAGTAATTGTTATACGTACACCAGCCCCGCACAGTGTGTTTCCCACAGGTCATAACGTATTCGCTCTTCTGATTCTTGCCAGGAATCACTTCAAATTTTATAGATGTATCACCCATGCCGTGGTTTCTGAAGGACAAATTAAATACTGTTAGAAACACTGAGTGTTTAAAAAGTCTGGGTTTACCAATTAAAAATGTCAATTTTTTAAAACAAACGCTCACATCAAAACTGGATGCCAATGTAAAATAACGTTCAGCTAAACCACTATTCATAATTTTGGAAGGACAAAAACAATACTGGTTTTTACTGCATGTGCTAAACAAGTTGTCCCAGTTCTGGAGTCTGCCTAGCCACCATGTAAAACAGAGATATATTCTAATAATTATGAGTTTGAGTTTTAACAAATTACAGCCTCCCACAGTGAATCTCAACTGGCCATCTAATAGGGTGTGATACCAACAAAAGTTAATATTTGGAGCTCAGGGTTGAACTGTGGGGTCCTCGGTGCTCTCTCAGCTTGGTGGCTTTTTTTGCAGACGTTTCATTACCAAACTAGGCAACGTCATCAGTGGAAGAAAACGACCAAGCTCAGAAAGCACCAAGGACCCCACAATAGTTTGAGCAAAATGTACAGGAAGTCCTAGATTCACAATCACAATTGAGCCCAAACTTTCTGTTGCTAAGCGAGAACTTTGTCCCATTTCTTAGGACCTTTCTTGCCACAGTTGTTAAGTGGATCACAATTGTTAAGTTAGTAACACGGTTGTTAAGTGGCTGGCCTCCCCATTGACTTTGCTTGTCAGGGGTTCCCAAAAGGTGACATGATCCTGGGCTAGTGCAACTGTCATAAATAGGAGTCAGTTGCCAAGCCTCTGAATTTTGATCATGCAACCATGGGGATGTTGTGATGGCCGTAAGTGTGAAAAATGGTCATAAATCACTTTTTTTCAGTGGCCTTGCAACTTTGAACGGGCCCCAAATGAACAGCTGGAAGCCGAGGACCATCTGTATAGGAAATAGCCGTTTTCCAATCTCCCTGTCCCAGCTGCAGCATGTCTTTTAAACATGCACATTGGCAGACAATCATAACATTCACAAAGTAGAGTTAAGACTGCAATAACCACACAGAGAGGGCTCGGTCCCAGGCAGACTAATTCTTAAAACAGTTATCGTATTTTAGGGAACCATTTCTACATTCTCCCAGATTAAAGGAAGGGGAAAAAAGAACAGATGAGGCTATGGTATATATATATAAAATAAAAATGAAAGCTTCCTCAAAGCATAAATCATGCAACTCACCTTTTAAGGCACTCATGAAGGATCTGATATGGAGACAGGAGCCCAGCTTTACTGGTCAGTTCGTATACCCGCGAGTCCTCAATACTGATATGGTTAAAATACTACAACAAAATCGGTAAACGATCACTTAATGGTAGAGAAAGACTGTCATTCTGCACAGTATTAAGAGATAAACTAACAAGGATAGATTTAGGAGAACAAAATAAAGAGCAGAACAAAATTGTTTGCGTTCACATTGAGTTTGCTAGGAGCTGGGATTAGGAACCATGAATATAATTAATACAAGCTCAGAAGGGCTATATTTGACATTGGAGTTGGAGTAAGCCACTGTTTGAACAGGGTCCAAAATTGGTTTTAATCTATATGTTCTCCATTTCCAAATATTTTGATAACATGCTGAAAAGTGAGAAGGACATGGTCTTCTTGAAGAGATACAAAGGTCGTTTATACCTTAGCTTATTGAGCCAGGGTTCATGACTTACAATAAAGTTTGTCTTGGCTGATTAATCTAAGACATTATCATCCAAATTGTTCAGCTATCACTTAAGAAGAGACTGGACAGCCATTTGTCCGAAATGGTGTAGGGTTTCCTGCCTGAGCAGGGGGTTGGACTCGATGACCTCCAAGGTCCCTTCCAACTTTATTATTATTATTATTATTATTATTATTATTATTATTATTATTATTATTATTATTATTATTATTATTATTATTATTAAATTCATTTCAGGCCCATGAAATAAAAGACGGTACCAATATTTGAGCGAAAGAGAGGGAGACTTTATTATTTTTCTTTCCAAAGGCTACCTCCCTCTGGTTAAGTCCTTCCACTGACAGAAGGAGTCAAAGGACAAATAAATCACTTAAATTGGCAGCTCTTATGCTAGGCAAAAAAGCTGAAGGTTTAAAGGAATTTAACATGCAAAGACTCAGCTCTGAACGTACCTCTAACTCCTCACTATCTTTGGGCTTCTCCTCAGATGTCTGCTTAACAAAATCAGGGATGAGGATTTCCAGAGTAGCTCGGGCTGAAAAAAAACCCCCAAACAACTGGAATGAGCAGAGACCTCTGAAAACCAGGCGTGCAATTTTCATTGGGGTCATTTCCTGTCGTCTTCTTTGTCGTGTGTTAATGGGTGGACCTGGAAACTTTTAAAACCCAATCACAGAAAATCGCACGCAGAATCAGAACCGATGCACCAATTTTCTGAGAATGCTAAAAAAAAAAAATTTGGGCTCCACTAATCATCCGTAGTTCTAGATGGCTTTTACTTACCAGCTTTATTCTTGGCAAGTTTTTTGCTACTGGCAGTCCCTGCTCCGTAAGTCACTCCATCAATAATAACGGATGCTCCAAAAGGCTCACTTGGGTTCTCTTTAAAGGGAGAGGAGAGAAAAATCAAAATTGTTAAGTCCCATCTCATCCCATCAAGAAGACCGAGAGGGCCACGTTTAGCATTCTTGACCCTAGGATGATGATGATGATAACAATAATAATAATAATAAAGTTGGAAGGGACCTTGGAGGTCATCTAATCCAACTCCCTGCTCAGGCAGGAAACCCTATACCATTTCAGACAAATGGCTGTCCGGTCTCTTCTTAAAAACCTCCAGTGCTGGAACATTCACCGCTTCTGGAGGCAGGTTGTTCCACTGGTTAATTGTTCTCACTGTCAGGAAGTTTCTCCTTAGTTCTAGGTTGCTTCTCTCTTTGGTTAGTTTCCACCCGTTGCTTCTTGTCCTGCCTTCAGGTGCTTTGGAGAATAGCTTGACTCCCTCTTCTTTGGGGCAGCCCCTGAGATATTGGAAGACTGCTATCATGTCCCCCCTCGTCCTTCTCTTTGTTAAACTAGACATTCCCAATTCCAGCAACCGTTCCTTATATGTTTTAGCCTCCAGTCCCCTAATCATCTTTGTTGCTCTTCTCTGCACTCTTTCTATATGTCAGGGAGGTTATTTGAATCCAACTATGGCCCTTAGCAAGGAGATCCAATCGTCGATCCTAAAGAAAACCAACCCTGCTCTGAACAACTGTCCTTCTTTAGAAGGACAAATTCTGAAGCTGAAACTCAGATAGTCGTCAAGTGAGGAAAAGAGGACTCACTGGAGAAGACCTTCTGTTGGGAAAGATGGAAGGCCAAAGGAAAAGGGACGGCAGAGGATGAGATGGTTAGATAGCGTCTGGGGGTTGTGTGCTAGAGAGAAGCACACAAAAGCAGGTACAAAAACATTCAGGGAAGTGACTGAAGAAATGGCCCCCCATCAGTCAACAGGATTGCTGATTTACCACCAGCTTATCAAGTATTTAGGAAGTGAGGGCTTGGCTGCACAAGGAAACAACAGCCAACGACTTAATAGCCAGCCATCAAGACCCCAATCAACAATAACAACAACTAGGCACCATATAAATACTAAACACATAATAGCTCAAAGCACACATTCAGCTAGAAAGAAGTTCCCCGAAAGCTCGGTATACTAAACCCCTCATTCCGGGGACTGACCCAGATTGGATCCTGCCACACAGCTCAAGCGTAGATCTTTAGATCTACTACAGCTCTCCAGGTAATCGTCGCTTCCATGAATGGATCGTTACTTCGATAAATATTAAAAGACTTACCACATTCAAAGAAATTGTAAACAGGTCGTACTTTCAAGACGCGTTGCATATATTCATGAAGGATACAAACTTCAGACTTCCCATTGGGATTAATAACAAACTCTGGAAAATAAAGGATATTGCACAGATGGGGCTTTGAATCTCTGAAATGGTTCACTGGTAACAGCTAGAGAACTGCTTTCATTAAGACGTCCCGCAGGATAAATACAATTCCTTGGTAGCAAGCCCAGTATCCTAACAATGAGTCAAAAATAAAATTAGCATTTTCCAGGATTAAGAAAACTCAGTGTAGGTCAAGGGTCTTCAAACTTGGCCCTTTTGTGACTTGTGGACTTCAACTCCCAGAATTCCTCAGTCAGGCACGCTGGCTGAGGAATTCTGGGAGTTGAAGTCCATAAGTCATAAAAGGGCCATGTTTGAACACCCCTGGGTGTAGGTAGTCCTCCATTTAAGACCACAATGGAGTCTCCTCATAAGTCATGACAGTCGCAGAGTGGGTCGTCATGAGACCGACCCGATTTTACAACTTTTTTTTGGGGGGGGCAGTGGTCATTAAGCAAGCATTGGCAGTCACCATGGCTGTTAAGCAAACCAACTGTTTGTTATGGGACCCAAGATGCAAATGCTATTTTTGGGGGGCAAAAAACCTGTCAATGCTGCTAACATTGGATGTTCTTCCTTTTGAGAACATATGGAGATGCAGCCTTTTTCTTTCTTATGCTTTACTCTTAGAATTAGATGATACTGGGGGAGGGGGAGGAAGGTGATGGGAGTTAGTTAGACATAACAATATTGTCATAGTGTGTGAACTCAGGGCTTTTGAAATAGATGATAAGAAATGGCGGGATGAAGTAATGGAGGGAAAGCCTGCATTTCAAACTAATTGGAGAAGGTGATTTATGACTGTAAATTAGAGAAGGGAATTATGCTTTGATACTGTGTGTTCAGGGGAGGGGAACTCAAGATTTTGGCTTCAACTATGTTAGTGCCAAAGCTATGCTACTCTAATAAAGGTTCTTTAAGGTAAACAATGCCTCAAAGTTCTTTGAAGAGTTTCATCTGTCGGAACTATGACAAAACCATTGTACAATGTGGCCACATGATTGTGGGACGCTGCAAATAGGTGTAGGCGTCTGCTAGACCTGGGTTGTAAGTATCCCTGGGGAGATCCATCATAACTTTGAATGAAAGACAAAACTCTGAATGGGGAGGGGGGCGGACAAACAAATAAAAAACAGTTCCACGTAGAACTTTGGCTAACTCTCGGGGCTTTAACATGCATTAAAGGCTCACAAAACCAGCCTACCTTTCTTGGTGGGCGCGTCTTGGACAGACAACGTGATCAGCTTCTGATTGGCTGGCAAAATGGGCCTTTCAGACTCTGCTTGCTTCCTCTTCATCTCCCGGTTGAACTGCCGTCGCTCCGCCCACGTTCGGAATTTCTTCACCGTGACTTGCTCGAAATCAAAACATTTCTCCAGGTAGTGTCGGAAATCCTCGATATCTGGGAAAACAAAGCAACCGTAATCGCGCCCTGCTCCTTCCCAAGCGAGACGGCAACTGGGTCAATCGGGTCAATCGGCGAGTGACCCGATTGACGGACACCAGGGCTTAGGATCGTAATGCGGTCGTTAAGTCAAGGACCAACTGCGGATGGAAAGATCAAAGAGAGATTCGTACTTATGTCCCTTTCATCAGAGCTGCAGTTAAACAAGAAAAAAATTAATAGAGTAACAGAGCTGGAAAGGACCACAAAGATCTTCTAGTCCACCCCAACCCCTGGGCCGTGGACCAGTACCGGTCTGCGGCATGCCAGCAACCAGTCCGCACAAACAAGGAAAGCTCCATCCACAGGATGCAGGCAGCACACAAAACCATGCGCCCTCCAGTCTGTGGAAAAATCTCTCTCCATGTCACCAGTCCCTGGTGCTCAAAAGGTTGGGGACCTCTATTCTAGTCCAACTCCCTG